AGACCAGGTTTCACGGGTTAATATCTAGTCACTTCCACATTTTCATTAACCCCAACCCCCAAGTTGGCCTGCAGGACTCTACAAAATGTAGTATTCTGAGCCTGAAGGACTTAGCCCTACAAATTACTACTTCTGGCTAGGGCACTTCCACTATTGCTTGTACAGAGAACAATAAAGTCATGTCCTCTTACAAGTGACAGTGCTGTGTGCTCCGTTCTACTACTAAGTAGTAATCTTAGTATTATGTACATGTTGGGTTAAAGTTCAAGAAATTCATAAACCTGTATATTCAGCAAAACCCAACATTTGGATTTGAAAGGTTTCTGATGACTTTATGGGCCTTGAGCTGGACCGAGAGAGGGTGCTTTTTTCTGAGCAACGGAGGCTCCTTTGGTCAGAACTGAACTTCGCAGGTTCACGAAAACTAGGAAATGCATGCGTTACGGTCTCATCGCTACCAACAATTTGAACACTCCTGACCAACATGGATCTTTTCAGCCAACTGAGGGGGGGCTTCTGCTCAAGGCGGATAGTGGCAGAACACACTACAGCATGTGGACTACATTTGTCACAAAAGCTACGGTTCGCATTCCGTTCCTGCTACAAAAAAGAGCGACCAATCTTATACTTTGTAAATACAATGTATATTTCATTAAAGAAACTAGGGCGAACAGGATTCGTTGGTGCTCCACCAAAAGAGCTCTTCAGCTGTCCACGTACGCATTGGTAAGAGCCCCAAGTTCTAAATATCCCTGGCTCTGAGGCAGTAGAAACAGTACATGCCACGTGGCTAGAAATCACACCCAATGCAGACTTAGGAAAAAGACAAGGCCACTCATAAAGATTTACAAATCTACTTAGCTAGTGAAGAAAAACATGAAGCTATTTGTGTGCTGTCTCCCATCCAAAGGAGAAAGAAAAATGCACGTGGCAAGCCACGTTGGAGTCCCCCAAGACCAAAACCAAAGAAAAAAAAATGAAGGAGTTGCACATCTTAACTAAGGCTGAGTGAAGCTGACCTCTTGATCCCTGTCTGTTGTTCTATGATCTGTGGTCACGCAACCGGAATGCCCGTTCCTGAAGTATCTGCAAGAGGCAGAAAAAAGAAATCTATAAATGTAGCCACAGAGAAAAAAAGAAGACGGAAGACTTTTAGGAATAAGTCTTGAGTACTTGAGTGTGGATGAAGATGTGCATGCGTTGATATCTGAAGATGTACATGTACAGTACATGTGTTGAAATCGCTCACAGAGTTCAACATCAATGGGAGAACTCTTCCCTAACTGTCAATTAAACATTTAGAAGCAGCAATTACAATTTACATGTAGGCACATCCTGAATAGACAACCCTCGCCCTACAAAATCAGAAAAACGCTCAACCAACCTTTGCTTTGTCCGTGTGTTCTGCCATGTTGACCCCGTCTGTGTTATTTAGCTCCTTGGATACAACACACAGAAACTCGCCCTGGTCTTCGTTGCCATAGTTATAAGATGACCCAATGTTTATCAGCTAAAAATCACAAACGACAAGAATAGGAAACAGAGAGTAAAACATGATGACCATACTGAAACAAAAATGAAAGTGCCCACTCGTGTATATCTGGGTCAATGTAGGTCAGTTTCAGTTTGATCTGGGTTAATTATTCAATATGTCATTATGTGTGGTGCATGTCCTCTACATGTATATGCACATGTGAGGACATATGCACTAGCTTGTGTTGCAGTCAAGCTTGGTTTAGTTCCTTTGACTAATATCGGTCCCCTAAGGATCCTTTGTTTCATTTAGGAGGCACTAAGCCCACCGAGGGACAAAGTCATGCCGGGCAGAAGTTTTCAAACTAAAATATTACTTGTCATGCACGTCATGTTCCTCTCCATACACACTAGCCAAAACAACCAATGAATGAAAGCACACTCGGACACATATGTAAGTATACCACGTATGAGCGATTGAATAATTTACAGTGGACAACGGTAATCGAGTCTTGTGGGTCAAAATGTGATGTGCTGTCCAACAGAACTCCTTGTTGCCATCCTGATGAGGCTGTCCCACAATCTCATGAGGTAGGCTCCAAACAGAGAAGGCAAAAGCATCTGTCCTACCGCTGGAAGAGCCAGTGACAAGGTCATCTCCTTCCAGAGAGGCTCTTCAAGACATGAGTGCCCATACTCTGGCTTCTCCTGTGGTTGTTAATGCCTGTTTTAGCTCAGCAGGTTGCGCAGATTTCAAAAGTGGCAGAGACTAGAAGCAGGTCTATAGAGCCTGTATTCAGATTCTTTACGCCGTCTTGTCTCTTCTGCCAAACAAAGAACCCATGCTTGGGGTGCTTTCATAAAACCTACAGTTCTCTTCTGGATCAGTAACCTCTCCCCAGCTCTATCGGTGGCAGACATTGAAGCCAAAAGAGAACACTCCCACAGAGTTTCTGCGGAGAGACTTCCACACGGCCACACTACCCCCTGGATCCAGATGGAAGACCACCATCTGAAAGGTACGAGCTCTCCACCCTACTTCCTTTGAGGTGGAGTTCACAAGAGAAGACAGAAGTGGGGTATCTTGAAGGATTTGTCTGAGAGTCCATCGCTTTCTCTCAAGTCAAGCCCCCCCAGACTAAGATCAGGAGGCTGCGTTGGTCTCGTCTTTCTTCCACATGTGATCATCACACTGCACTGGAGTGAAGACTACATTCCATTTAAAGTCCTTGTGGTGTTTTTTCACTTTTAGATTAAATTCCAGTATAAGGCAAGTGGCAGATTGATTTATTATTCAGGTCATTACACATATCATCAATAGTAGCAGGGGTCGAAAGTAACCTTTTTTCCCTGGTAGCCAGCGGGACCAGTGCTTCCAAATTTTCACTGGTCCTGCTGAAAGTGTGGTGGTGCCACACCAGAACTGAACACGCAGCCGCTTGAGCAATCCTTGTTACGGCGCAGGCTGCGACAAATTGTTTTTTTAGTTTGCCCGATTGGGCAGGCCATGCCATAAATTTGTTTGCCCTAAATAGGATCACCACTTGCCCAAGATTTCTCAGAATCCATGATTATGATGATTTTAACTTAGGCCTACTGCAATACATGCAGTCCTTTATTAGGCCCCCAAAACAGTTGTGCTTTGCCTCTCAAAAATAGGATCGGTAGGTCAGAATTTTTTTTGTTGGGAGGGCAATATTTGTGCTGATTGAATGGCATCAATGGTGACGATAGCTTCCAAAATTATCTTAAAAACTGATGAACACCTGTCTTAATCTATGTAAAAATTGCTAGAAGCAAAATATGCTAGAAGCAGTGATGACTGAGGCACACTGTACACGTACTGCCTACAGACAGCATATAGCTGGAGAGCACCTTTTCTTGAACTCCTCTACACTGGGATCAAGGTTGAGATAACTTCCCCATCTCCATGAACTCTGAGTTGAATACCAACATGAACATGTATTGCAACGATGCACCTTGAAGGGAAGTCCAGTTGACCTATGTTTCCCACAGTCAAGTACCGGTAATGATATCAAGAGGGCAGAGCTTCAGGAAGGAAATATGGGTTGTTTCTCCATGTATCTGAGGGCTCAAAGTGGGCTTTGACACCAGTCAAGAAGTGTGAAAAGGGTGCCGACTATTGCTTTTAACCGTATCGGTTGCCATCTCAAACAGACCTAGTATTCAAAGACTACATGTACATGTAACTTACCCGTACATGTACTAGTACACACAGAGAGGCATACAGGATTTAAACATTCTGTACATTACACCAAATTTGACAACTCATTTTGAGTTTCCTGGAATGGTTGGGTGTTGGGTTTTCCAGATGGCTCTGTGCACCTTCCGCATTCCTATGCAAATGCCCAAGTACACATCTACATGTATGTGCATGCAGTAAATTGGTGGGAAACACTCAAGATTGGAAACTTGTACCAACTACTGTGATTGCAGTGTGAAGTTCTTCAGTAGATGTACGTTACATGTGCATGGAAGCATATGGCATTACTTTTTCCCTCTTCTCCGATGGACCAATACATGCCCATATGGTGCAGAGTGCCTGTCGTTTATGACACTGCAAGAAAGTTTCCTGTTTGATGACCGGGGCACGACAGGAAATTTACAGATTTTTGGGCTCAAACGATATGCCACTCGTGCCATGAAGTGCATAGGAACAGCGCGCAAGCACATGTGGCACACCGCACGCAAACTGTCAGCAACACTGCTACATGCACATTGTGCATGCTCTCCAACTTCCTGGTGGTTAAAAAAATCCTCATGTTAAGGGAAGCACTTCAAGCCAGGGGCACGATGTACATGTATAAGGCATGAAAGGGCTCTGAAGAGGTGGACAGGATGACCAAATGTACTCCTTTCTTACTGTCCTAGCGGTACAGTTGTGCACTATACACTAAGAATATGAACCCTCGTCACTCTGAATGCGTGGTAAATTACTTGAACTGTAGGATACTGATAGTAGGCTATGTTGGTTATTTACATGTAGTTATGTGTGCCTGGTGCACCAAGAAAGTTAATTCTCGAAAGCACTGAATAAAAAAATGACACAGGGCCCCCCTCCCAAAAATAAACAAACAACCAAATATCCTCTAAAAGTTCCGAATCAGTCTCTGACTTCAGTAGAACCCGTGTGTGAAACACGGGCAAATCTATCTCTACTTGCGACACTGTTTCCATCAAAAGTGATGAAATAATTTCTGAATTTGGTGGAGAAAAATATTACCATCTGCTCAGGTAATAACGAACAGTTGCCAAAAAATATTTCCAGAAATTCAGGACTGCATTCATATTGTCTGATAAGATTCAAGAGAATAGTCAGAGATAGATCACTTAACGTCTTGGCCGTGAATCATCCGTCCGCAATGATTCACGCTGGCTTCCTTTCAAATTCAAAGCACCTGTTCCCCGATTCTCTTTAGCTCTCAAAATTTGATGATCCAGACTTCTGTCCACCCTTTCAGCAATGCAATTCACACTCCGTGCGAATGGTGCCTTTTAACCCTAACCGCCAAACATTTTGTTTGGCTTACACTAAACAGTACTACAAAATACTAAGCAATAGTCTGAGCCTGAAGGACCTAGCGCTACAGATTACTACTTCTGGCTAGGTTACTTCCATTGTTACTCATACAGAGAACGATAAAGCCATGCATTCATAGTGCCACAGCACTGTATGGTACATTGTCTTTTCTATTTTAACTTATGGCTTCAGAGAACTATAAGGTCATGTCCTCTTACAAGCGACAGGACTGAATACTACATTTTATTACAACTAGTAATTCATAGTACTATGTAGGGTTAGGGTTAAATTGTAGAATGAAAGTCCTACCTGCTCAAACCTCCAGCCGTCAGACATTGTGGAGACCATCTGGGTTATTTCTTCCTCTTGGCATTGTAATACTCTGTACACGTGCTTTAATGAACCCTGTGCAAAGAGAACATTAAGAACAAAGTGACCGATACTTAGGGCTGTGCTGAATATCCGAATATTTGATCGATTGTCGAATATTTGAGTATCATTTTTCAAATTTGAATATTCGAATGCAAAATTCAAGAAAAGGAAAAGTTGTCTTTAGTTTTAAATGAGAAAAATTGCACTATGGAAGCTTGTGTCAAGAAGATTCAAAGGAAGGTGTCAGAAATCTTATAACAATTTAAAAAGTAAATTATTCAATAACAATTTCAAGGAACAGAAATTTTCAACAGGGCAAGAAGTCTTTTTCATCTCTTAAATCTTGCTAAATCATGGTCGGAGATACTCCTAGATGTGAGAAGCTATTATATTAATCACAATGTGCAATTATGCATGATATTGCAACTGATTTTGTATATGGTTTGTTCATCAACAATCTGCCGGTCCGTGTGACCACATATTTTTTGGATATTTGATCAAATTGAAGGTCGAATATTTGAATAGTAAATTATTCAAATTGACTTAGCCCTACCAATACTGCACACGATATGATAGTGGGGGTGGGAGTCCAATGTGAACTTACCTTATAGACTCCTCCCTAACAATTCCCTCCATCAATGTTTATCAATGCACTAAATACATGTATATGTATGTAGACCCCTTCTCTCCTTCATGAATATTCATAAAATTCTAAATCCAGGCTGCTTATGGAGGTGTATGGAGGATTTTGGTGGATTGAGGATGAATGCTGATTTCAACATTGGAAGATTTTGGAGGATTGAGGATGAATGCAGTTTTTGAAGTTGAGCAATTGGAGGATTTTGGAGAATTTGAGGATGTGCCCTGGTAAAAAGGCCCTAGTGGTTTGGGGTTAAAGCAAGTACATGTACATGTGTATGTACAGTGCATACATGTAATATCACTACATGTACATGTAGGTCTTGCAATGCATAAGCCATCTACATGTATTAGGCCTACAAGTCAATTGGTTTTCAAGAACGTGTATGTTAACTCTCTGTACATACGTACAGTACAGTATGTGGATGACCACTGGTTTGATACATTTTGGTGGCAGTGCAAGAGCATTAGGTTAGGATTGTTGTAACACGAGATGCTGATACGTGGACATGTATGTTCAATGCTGGTCCATTCACCTGTGCTGTGCGTGTGTCCCTGTCTCTTATTCTCTCCTTGACGGTCTTTATTAATGATGTAATGTTGTAAAATTCAGCTTCTTCTAAGACACCTGTCGAGAAAGAGGAGAAGTCATCGTTATGCATACATGTGCACGTAGCTATTTAATATTCAGAAATATCTCCGACGGTTTGACCGTGTCTTCACATTTGGTAATGCCCGCTGAGAAGTGATAATGCCGCTGCGTAAATCACGCCCTGGCGCCTGGATACGGGCGAGTTTAATTGATTCTAATTGGCCATGAGTCTGTGTGCACGAGGCTTGCCACGGGTCCGCCAAGTTCAAATGAGGAGATTCTTTTGGACAACTGTAAAATAAAATGAACTGGGGCATTCAGGAAGAATGAAAGGAAAATTCTACAACAAATCGTTGGAAATCCGTCAGACATCGACTTCTTTTGACACTCCGACTACACAAGGTACATGTATATTTATGAATGGGAACAAAATTGTACTTGGCCGGTATAAGACCAGCTCAGGAGAACGGACATGACTAATGCCCAAGCTGTAGGCGGGGGCATTATCAGTGTTCAGTCTCCTGAGCCGGTCTTAAACACTCATTTAAGACCCGGCAAGCAAATATTTATTCCCTTAACAGAAAGCAGAAAATGGCTTTTAAAATTCTCCTTAAACACGCGTTAAAAAATCACAAATTTCAAGTCAAAGTATGCACGTACACGTGTGTGCATGTACATTAAAATATCACCTGTGCATTAAGGAATAAAACACATGAAGTGAATCTACCCAGGGAATAACATACAAGCAGTGTGCAGCTGTTCACCATTCCTAGACAATAAGTGCCCTTAATGCAATACGTGCCTCGCGGCACCACAAACTTGCGTCTAATGGAGAACTTGTGAGTTCTTACCTTCCTCAGAGAGGTCTTTATTTAACACCAGCTTGCCGTGTCTCAGGTAGTTTAGGACAGGCCCAAAGTATGTCGGGTCACGGTCTATCAAATAGGCACCAGTGTCATCCTGCAACAAATGCGTGCCGGGAAGTTACTTTACCAATTTGCTCTTAATGTCAGTTTTGCCATTTAAACTTACAAGTAAATATTTCTTTTTTAAAAGTAGAGAGAATTAAGAAAAATTTCAGAGCCTGTGACATACAAGTGAGAGACAGTAATGACAGCAAACGTGATATGACAGAGGTTTGGGGTTTTTGCTTGTTGGGGGCACAGGTCCTGCAGCCACCGGTAGGGTTGGAGCAGGGTAAAGGCAGGGCCAAGCAAGAGACGACAGTTGACGAAAAAGAGCACTTGGGCTGCTCTGCACCTTGTTAAAAAACTATAAAAATGAGTACGTTACCATGAACACATTTTCATCCAGCACATTTTCTACTGGACATGCACCGATACGCATGTTTGTATGCCTTATATGTACAGCTGTACAACCAAGACTTTCTAAACCACTTACAATTTCTTTTTTAATCTATGAAAATGAGCTCAAAATGGGTATCTGACACATGCTAAAATTTCTGATGGCACGACACAATACTATATCCTATATTCCAATGCGCACCAATGACTGGATTTCTACTCATCTGAAAACCACTCATCCCCACATATTCTTCAATTATCAGAAATTTACTCTTCCGGTGTCTGGACATTTGGGACGCATCCCAGGCTCATCTGGCCATTTGATTAGTTGTTTTAGACAACAGAAACGCAACAAAAAGAATGCAGCATGCATCGTAATGGAATTTCACACGTGGATTGACCTTCAAAGTTGACCAGCCCACACCATCAGCGCAATAAGTAGCGATTTTCATCAACAAAGCACAGTGTCTGTACATTGGCTTATTGTACTGGCTTCATGTATTTGTTTCCAAGTAACTTAGTCTATTAACAAGCGAGCTCTACACTGGTGTACAGTCTGTTTACATGTACCAGGTTCTGCTCGCACTTAACCTGAGATATTTTTTATCGTGCATGGTGGGGGCCGCGATAGAGAGTATTCATGGATGTTGTCAAGTTTCTAGTTTTTGGCTCAAGGAAGAAGAACCTCTGTCAGTAATTGCTGACTGCCATCCCGCTTTGTACATCAGTATAGGCGTAACTTGTTCTTTGATTTGAAAACAGTGCCTAAAAGAATCATTTCTCTCTTTGCGGAGTCCGGAGCAATAGTGTTGAGGGAACAGTATCGGATATCTGGGAACTTGTTCAGGGACAGCACACAACTTTCTGCACTGTCCTTTGAACCCTTGTCCTTGTTTGTGCTAAGTTATTCAATTTGACTTTAAGTACACAGTATATACATGTATACACTTTTGGTGGGAGGGGGCAAATTTAAAAGCGAATGTGGCTTCAGGTTTATTTGACATGATGTTGGGGGAGAAAAAGTATCAATAGCCTTACTCATGGTCCCCAAATCCTAGCCCTTATTTCATGGTATTGTTTTCTCAGGGTTTGGGTGCTAATATTTGATACATACATGAATATTCAAATGAAAATTTGATTAATATTAAAATGAAAATAAAACTGAAAAATCCATCGGGGAGAGGGAGGACAAGTTGTCCCCGTCCCCCGCTGGATACACCTCTGCATATGTAGAATGGTACATGTCCCCCGTTGCATAGACACCTACTCAATGTACTCATTAATGTGATGACCCCTTCCCTTCATTCAGTCTTTTCAAGCAACTCCAACATTTTATGCATCTGAAGGTCCGTATGTGCATAATGAACAACCAGTTATTTCAAAGGGTCCGATATCATTGGTTGGAGTCATGATAAATACATATAAAGCGCATTGCAAACAAGAACGTATCTACTTTCGGTCAGAATTTATGATACCTGTGATATTGGGGGGGGGTTGGCTAACCACTATACACTACGTACATGCTACGTGCATGTACCAATGCAAGTTTAAATCCAAAATATTTACATAAATGCCTCCATGTGGAAATCCGTGTACATGTACACATTTGTGCACATTAGGTACAATTTTGACAACAGTGGAGCAGGCACACACAAAACATGTAGACTGCAACCCGATAAAAATCAAATTGAGGTTGACATTTAAACACTGACTCCACCGTGTCCACCTGTCATGCCTGTCCGTGTGGGTGTACAGGCGGTCCTTGCTGGCGATGCTGCACTGATTGTTCTTACGCTCACGACCCGCAAAGAGACAGAAGCAAGCAGGAGTAAAAAAAGAAAATAAATTGTTGGTCACTATTGCTAAGGGCATGCTTTGACATTCTCTGTAAGCATGCGTCTCCGTGGTCCAAGCTCGAAGGAAAGGAAAACAAGAGAGTGTGTGGTCTTAACAGAGGGCTCAGAAGAAAAACTGTACACGGCACCTTGCATGAGACATGATGTACATGTACACGTGCATATACAACGCAGATTCACTGTGTGCTCTGAGGAAATAAGTACATGTACATGTATGTACATCAGTGGCCTAACTAGGGCTAAATGTCTGAAAGGGGGGGCCCAAAAGTGCACACATTTTTTTCAAGGGGGCACCACAAGAACGTATAGATGAACTCAACAGAGCTTATTCACAGATGTCAAATGGGGGCACCCAGGGGGGCATGAGCCCCCTAGTTAGGCCACTGAAGTGCATACAATACATGCTCATTGAGCATGTGTACATTGTACATATATTATATACACATGGATAATAAGCCATTTGCGAGTTAAGTTTGAATAGAATCTGGTGCACTGTGTTGTCTGATTGTACATAAACATAACAATTTGAATTCCCCAGACTAAGACCCTGTCTCTATACCTCGTGATTCGGGGCAGGCTTTCACATAACGACCGCCATTTCTGGAATGGACTGGTTTCATTGAGCCCTTCTTATCAATGGAAAACAGTGTATTGGTGTAAGGCGTCTCTTATGTAACTAAGCAAAAGCTTGCCCCGAATCACGAGGTATAGCAACAGTGGTTTTGGTAAGGAGAATTCAAGTTGTTATGTTCATGTGAATTTAAAGAACTTGGTGTATCAGATTTGGGTCAAAGTTAACTCATAAAAGGCTTATCGGATATTGCCTGATACATGCACTAAGGGCTGTGATCCTGTCATTCAGATCTTCAGTTCGTTTCGAACAGCATCAACATGTGTTCACAAGATCTGACATTGTAGGCGTTTCACAATAGTGCGCCTCCAAGAGTTTGCAATGCGCTGACTGATCACAGTGCGTGAAATCTGTCGACCCAATGCGCGTTTGAATCGACAGATTTCACGCACTGTGATTGGTCAGCGCGTTGCAAACTCTTGGAGGCGCACTATCGTGAATCGCCCATATTGGTTGGCCTATTGGTTGTTGAAGACAGTATCATGTACATGTGCATGCCGGTGTACATACAGTAGGGATGTACATGTTCATGTGGAGTATAGTACATGTACAATACTGTATGATAAAATCAAGCACAATGTGTTTCAGTGTGTGCACAAATGTGCTTCTGACCATGTTTGTACATTAAATGTACTGTGCACCGGCTAAAAATACATTTGATTTCATTCCAGATCTATGATTCAGCCTTCATGTAGTCACGATTACTGTGCTTTGCACTAGCCACAACGTCCCAACTTTACTTCCCAGGGAAAATGCATGGCACTGGATTTGGCTGAATCAGGATGTTTTGCCCTTGGAGTTGTATTGTGGTTAACCCTAACTCTCCTCAATCCTCCAAAATCCTTCGGGCGGTTTTGGAAGATTTTGGAGGATTAAGGGTGAATGGCAAAAGTGCATGGCTGATTGCGAAAGATGCCATACATGTATGTAAAGGTCGTGGATTAGACCTTGTGTTGTTTTGCTTAGTCAAGCACAAACTCAGCCCGATATTTCTTTTGAATCAACCGCACTGCTGAAGAATGCCTTTCGCACTGCCTCAACATAATGGCAGGAATTGCCGGAGGATTTTGAAGGATTGAGGCAGTAGGCACACCTCCAAAACAACATTTTCAAGAAATTTTGGAGGATTGAGGCTGAATGCAATATGTTCGTGTTTGGAGGATTGAGGATGGTTCCTAGTAAAAAGGCATAGGGGGTTAGGGTTAATCAATCAGACAAGGTTTAAGATCATTACAGGTACATATGTGCAAATGTACATACATGTACATGTATATGGATTCACATGTACATGTAAATTACAGCTACAAGAAGCCATGCATGAATACATGTACAGTACATGTACCAGTAGGCCATGTGCATGTACATGTACGTACATAACTGACATATGCTTACATGTATTGGTACAAGTACTTAATTTCTTAGTAAAGGGGACAGGCTACAGACGTATAAAACTGATTAGATAAGGAAATTCTGACACTGGGAACAAATTCAAATTACAATTTGCCAAGTTCAAAGCATCACACCCAGCCAGCCTGCCAACCAGCCTGCCAGCCAGCCAGCCAGCCAGCCAGCCTGCCAGCCAACCAGCCTGCCAGCCAGCCTGCCAACCAGCCTGCCAGCCAGCCTGCCAGCTAGCTAGCCAGCCAGCCTGCCTGCCAGCCAGCCAGCCTGCCAGCCAGCCAGCCAGCCAGCCAGCCTGCCAGCCAACCAGCCTGCCAGCCAGCCAGCCAACCAGCCTGCCAGCCAGCCAGCCAGCCTGCCAGCTAGCTAGCCAGCCAGCCTGCCTGCCAGCCAGCCAGCCAGCCAGCCTGCCAGCTAGCTAGCCAGCCAGCCTGCCTGCCAGCCAGCCAGCCAGCCAGCCAGCCAGCCAGCCAGCCTGCCAGCCAGCCAGCCAGCCAGCCAGCCAGCCTGCCAGCTAGCTAGCCAGCCAGCCTGCCTGCCAGCCAGCCAGCCAGCCAGCCTGCCAGCCAGCCAGCCTACCAGCCAGCCAGCTAGCCAGCTAGCCAGCCAGCCTGCCTGCCAGCACAGCTGTAGACAGTAGGAGGATGGAATGATCATGATGTAAATAAGACCTGAAATATTAGCCTTGGAGTACAGACAATGGAATCTTTGTCCCAGACTTCCCTTTGGAACCCAAATTGTGTGTACATTAGCCTGTCCCTCTTCCGG